TTATAGTAAACATAATTTTGTGAGAAACGAAAATAAAATATAGGTGTATCTAAAATGGCGGCGTACACTGAACCAAAAATTTGCCTAAATACAACAAAAAACTTCATTAAGGCAATAAATTTCATTATAGATTTTCAGCCGATGAAGAAATTCATTGTTACAATGAAGAGTGCTTCACTGACTCGATGAAAGTAACCTTCTTTAGTTAATGAACAAAATTTCTTAAGCTAGTGAAGATTTTCATTATTCTAATGGAAGTGATTCTTTGTTTCAATGATTCCCAATTCTTCAATTTAAAGAATTCCTGCATCAAGCTAATGAAATATATTCTCTGTATTAATGAACTTAATTCTTCAAATAAAAGAATGCGTTTTTCGATCTAATGAAAAGAATCATTGAGACAATGAACTTATTTTTTCAAATAAAAGAATGCGTTTTTCGATCTAATGAAAAGGTTCATTGAGACAATGAAAAGGTTCATTGAAACAATGAACTTAATTCTTCAAATAAAAGAATGCGTTTTTCGATCTAATGAAAAGAATCATTGATACAATGAATGTATTCTTTGTATTAATGTATTGGATTTCATTCAGTCAATGAACCTATTCATTCTCATAATGAATTTGAGCTTTCATGTTTTTAAATTTTAGTAACAAATAATAAGGTAAAAAATAACTAAAAATTAACTTTCGAATTTTTTATTCGCTAGTATTTAAATAGCTACATAAGATTTGTACCTTTGGGTATTTACAAGTAGGCTTAATTTTGTAAACATGAAATTCTAGAAAGCTAAAGAACATTTCACTCTCGAGAGGGAATTCTAAGTCGAAAAGATATATCAATTTGAAGCAAATATCGAGAGCCCGGATAATATTAGTAAATTTGAAACGAATCTCATCAAAATGTATGAAAATTTCATCGATTTCGAAAATGTTTTTACCAATACCGTATATTGATGGTTGAAGTGATTGCTTGGTTCGCTTGAGATGATTGATTCTATCTTCGACTTCAATCAGATTATCGCCGACAAAAATCACAGACTCCTGTGAATCTTTGATGGTGAATTTGGTGGTTGTTTTTTTCCCCGTCACATCCTTTTTGATAATTTTTGTCGTTGGAACTAAGTAGCCATGTAATGCCCAAATACCAGCAGCATGTCGTCCGTCTAGAAAGGCAATAATAGAAATAGTTAATAATTATTGTTTAAAGCGCTTTAGTACCTACATGTAAAATTAGTAATATAAGATTACGTACATAAAAATAAAGACAGCTCTAATGTAGGAAAATGATTATTACTTATTAGACTAGCTGATGTAATTTGACTTACTCTCTGAGATTGTGGCGTCTTCTAATTTTTCGAGTAGAGTTTTTACTGACTTGTCTTTAACATGGTTTTCTGTCGTCAAAAAAGTATAAATTTTTCTCAAAACTCCATCAAAGTGTTCCAGTAAGCCATCCACATTACAACTACGGAACGCTAACTTGAAATCCATATCAATCTAAAACAAAAGTCAATTCATCACATCACATCTACAACATCTACAACTTCAACAATTCTTACCAGCCTATATCCAGCCGGGGTTTTGTAGAAGGGCCATTTCGCAATAATCTCAGAAGTTGCTTTTGAGTTCTTAATGAAGTGCTGTCGATATCCCCAACATGCTTTCCAAACAGTATCAAATTGTTCTGCTGTAAGATTGTCAATGTAACCTTCGGTTCTTAAATATTTGTATAATAGGTATTCTGTCTTTAAGGATTGAAATGGATCTCTACAATTTGACAATAGAGTACAAAATTCATTGAAGAGATGTGGTTCATTTTTTTCGAAGTAAAACCTGGCAAAAGCTATGAACGTATTTAATAACGGCTCCAATATATATTTGTTAACATGTTCTTGAATTGTAATTACATCTTTCCTAGAAAAGTTGTCACTGTTATGAAGAAAGAGTAAAAACGTTGAAGCAGCGTGAGTCATTCCTTTCCGAAATGTATTAAATTGCAATTCTTCGGGTTCGGATTGCATGGGTATGGGTCTATCTGTAGAGTCAGCAGAGTCTACTTCAACTTGGTCATTTGGGAATGACTTAACTGTTGATATATTTATTAAATTTTGTGCTTCACTAAAACTACTGTTGTTTGAACATGATTCTTCCGAATAATCATCTCTATTAGTAGAATGAATCCGATTAACATGTCTTTTAAATGAAGCAAAATTTTGAAAGCTTTGATTGCATTCTAGGCATCGGAATGTACAACTGGAATTTAGATTATGAAAACGTTTGAAATGGATTGTTAATCTCGGAACGTTTGGAAAGCTATCTTTACAAATAAAGCATAACATACTTGCTGGTTTCAGGATTATTATCGCTATACCTATAGGTGCCTTATTTCAACTTCAAAATGGATTCGAAATTCGAAAATTTCTAGTTTATAATTATATATGTTGGTATAGTTCAACGGAATAGGTATATAGGTGCTACAAACTAAACATTTTAACTCCAAGTACCTACATACCATAATAATAAATTTATCTCTTACCTGTGTCCCTGTGTGCCCTCCTAAAATTTTTTTAAACACTCACAATATAGTCGCAATTTGCATACGGGTATACCCCTAAGCTGACAAGACGAAGATTGAGTGAAAACCGCGCGAGTAGAGTACATATTGCTATTTTTAAATTTTGGCCGTTGTAGATTTGCGAGTGGGGCTGTTATTAATGAACAAATTCATTGCATTGATAACTTGTTGGCTTTGTTATAATGTAAAACTTCATGACTTATTTTTTCAATTGAAGATATGCATAATACTAATGAACCGTTTTCATTATTATTATGTAATATGAAAATACTTCATTGAAGAGGACTTCATCGTGCCAAAGAATACACTTTCATAATAGCAATGAACGAGTTCATCAGTCCATAAACAATTGTTGATTGAGAAGATGAAAATAATCATTAAGCCAATGAAGATGACTTCAGTGTGCCAAAGAATACACTTTCATAATATCAGTGAACGAGTTCATTAGTCCATAAGCAATTGTTTATTGAGACGATGCAAATTTTCATTAAGCCAATGAAAATAAGTTAATAACAACCGTTCATTAATACTATGAACAATATTTTTTTCAGTGTACTTTCTAGAAAAAAAAGAAATCCGGATTTTTTTTTGCCGTCGGAGCATTGTTTTAAAATAATCATTTAAATATGTATAAAATTTTCTTTTGACAAAATTAAAAATTAATATAAAATTAAAAGTCAAACTTGATAATTCGAAATCGATTAATTGAAATTATAATAGTAAAAAAGCATGCCTCTTATGTTGATTTGTTATTGCTGTTGCATTGATGTGCTCGAAGCGTTTTAAAATGCTTCGTTTCGGTAAACAAAAAAATAAGTCCAACTTTTAATGTTTACCAAAAAATCTAAAGTATGAAAACATTTTATTGAATTTTACTATGAATCATATAAAATAAATGAAAATAAATCATCTTCCATGTCAAAAAAACTCCAAAGTAATTTAGTATAGGATACCTATTTGAATGAAAAATTTTTATTCTTTTTATTGTAAAGTATTTAAAATAACGTCATTTAGATATGAAATACTGATGCGAAATTTTCAATAAAAAATTTAGTCAGTCGTAATTACTGCACAGAAATAAAGAGATACTCAAACTGATCTTAAAGTAAATTAAACTTTCGAAAAACTATGTCTTACTCCCAAATGAGGTTACTGGTATTGGTGCTATAAAATTAAATTTTGCAGCGAAAAAATATATAAAAATGGGTATCGGTTAGACCAAGACTATTTATGACCGCTGCAGACATGTGGTAAAGATGCGGCGTCAATGGTGGGGCAACGAAATTGTGGTTTGTCAAGTCCCTGTCAGCTCGTGAAAATTGAAGTGGTGATAATGTTTAAAAATGAAACTTGAGACTCATGCAGTTTTTTATGGGATGATTTCTAAGTGCAGTACGTACAATAATTATTGAGATAGGACTCCAAGAAAAGAATAAGCCAATAAAATTCTGTTATCGGAACAATTTACCGCGGCGGAATATTAAAATATACATATACAAGGTAAATATACAGGGTGTCCCACCACGAACTCCATCGATGGATATCTGGGAAACCGCTTAAAAATTTCGAGTTTTCCACATTTTCTGAACTTCATGTTCGATAATTTTTTTTGACCATCCTGTATAAAAACTGGAAAATTTTCATGCCAAATTCGATAAATTAGGTTTTCCTCTACAAAACATACAATTTGCACAAAAAAATAAACCTATGTTTCCGGGAAAACTGACAATCTGCAACTGTCAATTTTTGCTTAAAAATCAAAATATCTCGGAAACGGTCAAGTATGGAGTGTGCTATATGTTTTCAATTTAAAAATATATGCTCTTTCCAAAAATGCAATAATATACAGGGGGTTCCATTTAAAATAAGAAAGTTAGTATCGACTTCCGGTATAACCGGAAGTACGATGACCTTGAAAATATTTTAGCTTGGTAGGCCCCTACGGCCGTATCACACCATCACAATTTCAAAAAAATCCTTTGAGCGGTTTCCCAGATATCCATCGATGGAGTTCGTGGTGGGACACCCTGTATATAAAGTAAATTTTTTGAATTAAAATGTGTTTTTATTTCTTTTACAGTGCAGAAGGGTACAAATCATAAATAAACTAGAAGATAATACAATTATAAACACGCTGGTACAAAAAGGAATAAACAAAGAAAGATGTATTTAAGTGATCTACTACATCCCTTAATCTGATAAATTTTCGAAATCATTATCACTAGAACTCTCACTATCAGAAGCTGTTGTAATCAAGTCTTCTACTACCACATCGCCTCGAATCTCTTTTGCAAATAATTGTCTTCAACTTTAACAACATGTTGGCAACATTTAATTAACTCTTCGACAATAACTGATAAAAATTCTTCTGTCAGAGTTTTCACAGCTTCTAATTTCAATTGGATTTAAATCAGGATGGTAGAATGGGAGGCTCAAAGCCACGTGCCCAAAATCAACAGACAATTAGGGATAAAACTCATTTCACCACCGGCGTGAACAATCTATTGCCTTTAGATATGGTTGATAGCAAACCGTCACTGGTATTGTCTGTCCAACTGTTAAAACAAGGTAACATGGGCAGTGTGATTGTAATTTCAGCTAAAAGACTCAATTGGTCTACCTTGGCACCTGTCCAGATAGTTCAACCTTATAACGGGAATATCAGTCTTCTCTATTAGCACCCGCCGATTGTTCGTAATTTTCCTCCACCTGAACTTGATTTATTTTTATAAGAAATTGCACTGATAACGCACAGGACGATACGCTTACGAAGAAATACGCCTTCGTAACTGCACAACACAGTATGCACTGCAAGCTGCTACGGTGAATGCCACGCCGCTAATGTCTTTCTATCTCTGGTGTTGAATGCAATTAATTCTAAGAAAGTGACGCAAGGGTATTCTTGGAATTCTGTCTCACCAAATATCGAACGTACTGTACATATAGAGAACTTTCGTAAAAAAATTCGAATGAAATTTATGAAATAAAAAATTAAAATAAGGCCGGCCGACCCTGAAATCTTGAATAGAGTTGCACATACAGGGTGTATCTAAATAACACCGAAAAAATTCAAGGGGCGATTCTCCGATGAAAATTAATAGGGGTCTTTGGTATAAAATTTTTTGAAAAAACCCTTCCCTGAAAAGTTACGCCCCTCCTAAAATTACAAAAAAAAATTGTTTTTCTTTTTTATCTTCCACGTACATCAAGCTAAAGAAACCAAACTTGGTGAACATTATCTGTCAATAAAACTACACTTTTTGAATTTTTTTCAACCCTGAACTATTTTTGTAAGGGGTTGAAATAATCAACCCCTATGACATTTTTTCTTATAATTTTTTTTTCGATAAAATTTTTTCCTTTTAAAAAATATGTCTAAAAAACCCCATTCATTTACTAACTTTTTGATCTCTTCAAGTTTCTTCGAAAAGTTAAGGATTTATGACAAAAAAAAAAAAATGTATTGTAATGTATTTTTAAAAAGATGAGCTGTTTAACGCGAGTGTATTTTGCCGAAAGATCTAGTGGCCTGTTCTTTACAATGGAATCCGTAGAAACAAATGTCAATGTCATTTATTGTTACTGTTTCTTACTATTTCACAAGTTTCATGATTTTGTGTAGAAAATATTAGTTAATAAACCGAAAATATGGTTAACTATTCGAATTTAGAAATGGCAGATATGCATTTTACATATGGGTATGCTAACGGTAATGCATTGGAAGCGCAAAGACTTTATGCTGAACAGTACCCAGAGCGTAGATTACCCCACCATACTACGTTCACAAATATTCACCAACGCTTGCGGGAACTTGGAAAATTTGAAAAGAGAAGTCATGACTGTGGCCGTAGCCGAGAAGTTAGAACTGAAGCTGTCGATGAAGCCGTACTTAATTTAATTGAGGAATCCCCAGAAACTAGTACCAGGAAAATAGCTCGTGTCCTAAATGTAAGCCATTCGGTAGTTTTTAGAATTTTAAAAGAACAACAGTTATATCCCTATCATCTCCAACGGGTGCAGTCGTTACTGATTCGAGATTTTTTACCACGTGTGGTTTTTTGTCAATGGCTTATTAATATGATCGGCCAAGCGCCGCAGTTCTTAAGAAATATTTTATTTACTGACGAGGCGAATTTCTCAAGAGACTGTATTAGAAATTTTCGTAACAATCATATTTGGGCTGAGGAAAATCCTCATGACTTTTTTGAAGGAAATCATCAGTATCAATTTTCATTAAATGTGTGGCTCGGAATTATCGACGATCATTTAATTGGTCCCTATTTTCTTCCACGACGATTAGATGGTGACTCATATTGTCATCTTCTCGAAGAATTACCTATTATTCTTGAAGAAGTTCCCATTCAAATTAGGCAACGTTTATGGTTTATGCACGACGGTGCACCAGCCCACTTTAGTATACGTGCAAGACGTCACTTGGATGAGGTGTATGCCAATCGATGGATAGGTCGAGGAGGATATGTAAATTGGCCAGCCCGCTCCCCTGACCTTAATCCTTTGGATTTTTGCATATGGGGATATCTGAAATCTTTGATCTACTCAAGGCCAGTTGAAGATATCAATGATTTGCGAAACCGCATTGTAGCAGGGTGTGAAACGATAAAAAATTCACCAGGAATATTTGAACGCATACGCAATTCTATGAGAACAAGAGTAGATGCTTGTATTGAAGCTGAAGGCAATCATTTTCAACATTTTTTGTAGATTGTATTGTCAATATCCGACAGATTTTTATTTTTTGTTACTGTTATAACATTATTCATCATTTGTTCACTTTTAGTCTAAGTTCCAAACTTCTTAGCCTAGTAGAATCATAGGTCAACTATTTGGTTGAGTGTTTTTTAATAAAATGTTATTTAATATGACAATAAATGACATTGACATTTGTTTCTACGGATTCCATTGTAAAGAACAGGCCACTAGATCTTTCGGCAAAATACACTCGCGTTAAACAGCTCATCTTTTTAAAAATACATTACAATACATTTATTTTTTTTTGTCATAAATCCTTAACTTTTCGAAGAAACTTGAAGAGATCAAAAAGTTAGTAAATGAATGGGGTTTTTTAGACATATTTTTTAAAAGGAAAAAATTTTATCGAAAAAAAAATTATAAGAAAAAATGTCATAGGGGTTGATTATTTCAACCCCTTACAAAAATAGTTCAGGGTTGAAAAAAATTCAAAAAGTGTAGTTTTATTGACAGACAATGTTCACCAAGTTTGGTTTCTTTAGCTTGATGTACGTGAAAGATAAAAAAGAAAAACATTTTTTTTTTGTAATTTTAGGAGGGGCGTAACTTTTCAGGGGAGGGTTTTTTCAAAAAATTTTAACCAAAGACCCCTATTAATTTTCATCGGAGAATCGCCCCTTGAAATTTTTCGGTGTTATTTAGATACACCCTGTATATTTAAAGAAATACGTACATGAGTGGCATTCCTTTGGTACAAGGGTTCTTTTTAGTGAACAAAAACAATTATATTTTGAGGCTTGGTTGAAAAAAAAATAAATGAAGAAGAATATATTTATATTCTACAGGGTGATCCATTAACGGTATCGAGCGGCTGTATATATGACATTAGACGTGCTACGAATATGAGGTAAAAAATCTATTGACAAATAGGACTATAAGAAATTGATTTAAAATATTTTCAAGTTTGTAACTTCACCGCTAGAGGGTGCAACTGCTATTGTGTTATAGAAAATTGTCGATTTTTCGAAAATTCGCTTATATAACCTAAGTTGAAAATACATTTTTTAGATACACTGTTAAGACCTTCACAAGTTTTGTTTCAACTTTTTTTTTTTTTACCATAGCAACGCCAGTATGAAGGACTCCATCTTGAAATTTTTAAATTGTCATAACTTCTGAATGCCTTAATCGATTTCAAAAAACGACGGCTCTTTTTATAGAACTATTAATATTTATATTTATGATATGGGAATAAAAATATTATTTTCCTGCGCAACGGTAGACGACGCTAATGAGAAAAGTTTTCTTCTTTTCTTATCCCCGTTTACTAAAAAAATTAAATGCAACGATATATTTTTTTTTTCATGGCTTGATAGACCGTTTATTAAGGAAAACAAATACACAAATCGGAGGTCGATATCTTTTTTCGTTTAGTAGTTATTGCTAAAATAGTGAAGTTGTGCTAGAATAACATTGACATAGTCCAAGCCAAAATTAAATTGTAATTAATTGTAAACCTATGCCAATATTGTTCTTAAAAAGAACTTGCTTTATTTTTAACTTTTTTAATATGTAGGGACAATTTTTCATTTTTTTTTTATTAATTCCAAATATCTGAGGAGTTATAAAGATTATTGTTTCTATGACGAGGCAGGATATGCTCGATGAAAATAGATTATTGAAAAATTATGCCAAACGATACGTGTCAGCTCTTGCTTCGTGCAAAATTAGTGTCATTCGTGTGAGAAAAGTACTTGTGTTCCATATGAAATTCCCAGGTCTCTAACTAATTCCCTTAGACTTATTGGGGGATTTACATAGACACAAGCCAACATATTAATAGTATTATCTTCCGTTCTTGCACGGCGATGCCTTCTTAGAGAATGTAGTGGCGTCTGGATAAACGCTGAAATAATTCTCTGGAGTAGCGTATTATACAAGGTATCGCAAAGCGTATTCTCTTGAAGCTATAACGGCATTTTTCAAACATTGTAAATAAACTGCCAAAATATCATACGTTTTCACATTCGTAAAAGGCATTTTCCTTGTTCAAAAGTACTTTTCCAACATAAATAACACTAATTTTGCACCCAGCAAGAGCTGTCACATTTTGTTTGGCATAATTTTCCAGTTGTCTATTTTCATCGGGCATAGCCTGCCTCGTTATAGAAACAATAATCTTTATAACTACTCAGATAATTGAAATTAATAAAAAAAATGAAATATTGCAGTTATCAAAAAAATTTCAAAATAAAGCAGTAATTATTTTTAAGGACAAGATTGGCATAGTTGACTTTGACTTGAATTATGTCAATGTTATTTAGAGAACTAAATAAAGGAGGATATTCTAGCACAACCTCACTATTTTAGTAATAACTTGAAAACGAAAAAAGATATCGACCACCGGTTTGTGTATTTGTTTTCCATAATGAATGGTCTATCAAGCCGTGAAAAAACCTATATCGTTGCATTTAATTTTTTTAGTAAACGGAGACAATTACAAAATTTTTCTCATTAGCGTCGCCTACCGTTGTGCAGGAAAATAATATTTTTATTCCTATATCATAAAAATAAATTTTATTAATAGTTCTTTAAAATGTCATTGTTTATTGAAATCGATTAAGGCATTTAGAAGTTATGACAATTTAAAAATTTCAAGATAGCATCCTTCATACTGACGTTGCTATGGTAATAACAAAAAAAAGTACAAACAAAACTTGTGAAGGGTTTAACAGTGTATCTAAAAAATGTATTTTCAACTTAGGTTATACATATAAGCGAAATTTCGAAAAAATGACATTTTTTTTGGGGTAGTTAGTTTTATACGGTTTATTGGGTTATTTAACTTATTTTAATAG